AACACTCCCGAACCGCCCCCAACATCCTTATTAACCCCCCCTATACTCCGCCTATACTCCAACCCATACCTGCGGCGTATCGCGTGCGCGCGAGCTCCGCACGTGCGGCGCATAACGCACGTGTAAGCATGCATGCGCACGTGATGCGACGCACCCCACTAAATAAAAAAAAATTTGGAGAAGGCTGGATGAGGTAGCCAATGGTGCACCTCCCCACAGGAAAAAAAAAAATAGCGCCCACGTATTCCTTGTTGAATAGTCTTTTTCACGGAGGACCCCAACATTTTGTATGACAGACGAGCAGGCCAGCAATATATGTTCTGGATCCGAACTGAGGTCTGCTTTCGAGCAGTTATGGGTTACAAGTTACAACTACTTACTACCGTAGTTCTCTCTTTCTTTTGTTTCCTTTTCCTACGACAAGTGACCCTAAGGGCCTTGCTTCACTCGTCACCACTTGCACAAAAGACAAAACATATGGCGGCGCACGGTTCCATATTCTAGCAGAAGATTCATTCTAGTTTTTCACATTTTTGGTGGAGGGAAGCCCTGAAAGCACGTGGTGAGTTGGCCTGCTATTGCCCAGAAACTCGCGTGCTCAGTGGTCCCATAACTGCTGAAACACGGACCTTAAAGTGAATCAACAGCATATATACTTGGCGTGCCGCGTGCCATACCTTCAACATGGCTATGACTACGACCTCATTCATGGCAACGTGACCCTTGCTAATTGTGTGCAGGGCCCTCTCGAATAACCCGCGGGGGGGTTGAAATAAATATAAATAAGGAGCTATTTGTTTACATTTTTCCCCCTCACTCTCTCTCTCTCTCTCTCTCTCTATATATATATATATATATATATATATATATATCTTTTGCGTGTTCTATTTGACGATATATATATATATATATATATATATATATATATATCTTTTGCGTGTTCTCATACATAACAACCGTTTTTTCTTTTCTTTTTTTTTTCTTTTTTTTTTTTGCATCGGTGACCAGCACACTTTGCGTCGCAGGTATGCTCCAACCCCAACCCCCCATCCCCCTCCCCCATCCCAAAACGTTTCTCTGCGGATTTGGGCTGTACTCAGCAAGCGCAGTAAGGCTGCGCAATCAGAAAAAAGAAAAAAGCATCGGATGCCTGTTTTCTGACTGGTCGGCGGACCGCCGACCGGTCGGCCCCGACCGGTCGGGACAAAACGGTCGGCGGTCAGGGTCGGCGGTCGGCACCGGTGCAACCCTGCACTTGATTGGTTTTCGAAACAGAAGTTGTGGTGGTTAGGAATGAGAAAGGTCGTTAACAATGATGTGTGCGCTTCGTTGTCCTCATCAGTGACATGTCCAACGCTACCTTGGTGATGGGGGCAATGCAATTGAAGAAAAAATTGATCAACCAATCCGTTGCCATGTAATTCCCGAATTTGCAAAAAGACAAATTTTCAAAAATTGATCCAAGGGTCTCACATATTACATCCATGAAAATACAAAAAGAGGCCTCGTCAGTCCCGTGCGGTCGCAGCCGCCGCGGGCACGACCGCGGACCGTGGTCTCGGCCGCGAGGCCGTGGTCATGACCGCGGTCATGAAAAAAAAGAAGAAGAAAAACAAGAAACTCTGAAAAATCTGAAAAAAAAAAATGTTATGCCCAAAACTAGACTGAACAACTTTTGCCTTGGGGTCATATCAAGATTCGTTACCGAATTTGAGATAAAAATCAAACAAAATCCTTTATTTTTCTTACTAAAAGAATAAAGTGAAGAACTTTTGCCTGAGGGATTTCTGTTTTTCATTTTTTGAAAATCGAAAAAGAAGTCAAAAAATAAAATTAAAAATATACAGTTGTAGAGCGCACAAAAACCTACTACCCCATATTTTTATTTTATTTTTTGGCCTATTATCCCAGGATTTAAATGTCGGGGTTCTCCGACCGCACTTGGCCACGAGCGCCGGCCGCTGCGGTCGGGATGCCAACCGCGTGCGGTCAAATGGCCCGCGGTCACGACCGCGGGTGATACATAGTCGTCGGATGGTCACCCAAAATTCGACAAATGGAAAAAAGAGAAGGCGGGGGGGAGGGGGAGGAAGATAGTGCTGGTCCAGAAGCTAGCGCGTCCAATATGTGACACTCAGGGGGTTCCAAACTTATGCAATCTCCTGATTGCATGCACGAAAGCCAATTTACATGTCGGAGGAGGGAGTAAGGGGGCGAAGGGATGAACGAGGAACCGAGCGTATCAGAACAGACAGGATTTCGTATCAGCACTAGATCGGACCAGAATCCATTGTTGACACCAACTTCAATTGCAGGATCTTCACGATTCGCGTTGGCTTGCAGATTCTCTACCGTCCAGTCTTGTCATGTGCACCCCTTGCTTCTTGATTGGCGGAGGTCGTCCAGGTGACGCCATCATGGTCCGCCAAATCTTGCCCGGTTCCGCTTCATTACTGGAAATCCGACCAGCGATAGTCGACGAGGAGAGGGTGATGGAGTGGTCTAGGCCATTCGGTTGGGAGGGGAGAAAAGAAGTCGGAGGCTTCGTCACCGAGATCGACCAACAGAAAAATTCCCATGAGACATGAAAGTTGAAAAAACATTCCATAAAAAAAAATCCTTCATATTTATAAATTATCATTCCAATGTTTGTCCAATTCTAAAATTTCCAATTTAATTTGATAAGTTCCCGTCTAAATATGAGTTTTCCCTTCCAACTACATCTATTTGTTCAAGATGGAATGAAAGTCTGAACGAGTTTATGAAATATTTTAATTAGACTTTCATTCTACTACAACAAATATCGTCTAATTTAGATTGAATTAACCTATTTATGACTGGAAATCCTTACTTAAAATGACACTCCAATTAAAATATTTCATGAACTCATCCAGACGTTCATTCCATCTCTAGCATGTAGTTCAAATAAGAAGGGATACCCCATTCTTGGAAGGAAAGTTTTCAAGTAAGACGGAAAATTTTAAAATTTGAATGACATTTTTTCAGATGGAATGAAAATTTGAAGTTTAGAATGTAATTTTACTCTAGAATTATTATTTAATTCTGGGATTTTTTCTGTTGACAAAGTGGACGATTCGGTGCGCACAAGGTAATCTATGATTGGGTCGAGAGAGGGAGAGGAGATAGTCGGGATATAGGGTTGTGATAGTCCGGAGAATATTATTGCGTAGAGATTCATAATCCTCTACCGCGGGGAAAGTTGCGGAGACGATGCAATACAACTCCATATGGTTGTATTGCCTCCAGGCGACACTGAAAAGAAGGATGTTGAGAGGGAAGGAGGGGTAGCGGTGTGTAAAGACTGTGCACAGGAGTCACACAGCGAAGTGGTGGCAGAAGAGTTGGTTGGCGAATATGCGATAGGTTAGGGGGAATTCGATATTGAGAAGACGAGAAAAGGAAAGGTAATCAAGAGGGCGGCGGTAGATGGGACGAGGACGGAGCGCCCGTGAGGGGAGGAGGACGGGGACGAAGCGCGGAGGCGGAGGTGGAGGAAGGTGATGGTGAGCGAGAGCGGCGGTGCTGGCGGAAGGATTTCACGCCATCGTGATGGCTGGAGGCGTCGGAGGGGACTTCGGGGTTCAGGGCAGATCCTTGTGCGCCAGGTGGCGCTCGGGCCGGAGGAGCCTCCTGGGGCTCGGGTGCCGATGCCTCCTCGTCTTCCTTTGTCGTTGATCGGGCTTCCGACTCTTCTTCCGCTGACAGCCCCACGGTGGCTATGCGACCTGGGTCGTCGTCCGACGGCACCTCTCCGTGTGCCAGATGAGCGTTCCAGAACTCGTTCAGATTGGAATTATCCAGCGCGAGCTCGTTCAGGTCCAAATAGCATCAAGCTGTAGGATCGTGATCACACAAGTATTGGCCGAAATCCTCTGTACAGTTTGCCCAAATTACCGTTGGCGTCAACGTTCTCTCAACAGTGACAGGCCCGGCTTGGCTAGGATCGCTTGGATTGAAGGAGATGATGCTCATTGGCAGATCTTCCACAAGCTGAGATAGGAACGTGAGGATCTCGTAGGCAACAGTTGCTCGGCCTCCTTCGGCGATCTCCCCACAACGGAGTCCAACTAAGGTGTCGTAGGTCTCCGCCTCCTCCGGCCACGCTTGCGCTAGCACTAGTGAGATCTCGTTATAGATCTCCAACTCCCGATTGCTATAATACCACGCTCAGTGGCACTTCACCGTTAGCATGCACACGATGACTGTCGCAAACTTAGTCCACTTGCGGATGTAAGAAGGATGGAAGGGAGGGATCGGAGTGGGGCGAATCTCCAAGGTTAGAAGGGGATCGGCCCAAGATGGCCAGAGAGTTGGAAGATCGGAAGGGAGAGAGAAGGTAGAGAAGCGATTCATTTGAGCAAAGGGTAAGGGCGAAGAGGAGGAAGTGGCCGAGCAGGGGGATCAGTGTTGCTAGTCCGAAGAGAAAAGGTATCAATACATTCGGTTCCCACCACTCGTCGACCTGGTCGAGCCAGCCGCTCCTGCCAATCCGCTACCAACGCCTGCCCCCACTCGTAGAGGCTTGTGACCACCGCGTCACGCCACTGGATGCCAATACTGCATAGATCGCCACTGAAAGCAACGATCATTGCCACTTCGCTCTGAGTAGGCCGGGAAAAACGCTCAAACGCCGAGGCTTCCACCAAGATGAAATCCGATCCCAACTCCGTTGAGATCGTTACCTCCACGGCCGCGTACCAGGCCCGATGACTGAACAACTGTGCGAATCTGAGGAGATCGGGACTGAGACGAGGATGCGTGACTTGACGAAACTGTAATGAAGGTCGAGGCTGAAGAAGTTGTGGAGGAAGAGCCGGTTCAATGGTGAAACTCATGGCGAAGACCGAGGAGAAGTATTGCCAGACGACGGGGAGGGAACAAGATCCTCGTCTTGGGTAGAGGAAGAAGGCGAAGGCGAGGCAGGATCCTCAGAGGGAGGGAGAGGGCGAAGGTAGGAGGTATGGCGAACGATAGGAAGAGAGCTATGGCTGGCGCCGGTCTCAGGTGCGATGTGCACAGTATTGGCTCCGTTAGGACCGAGTTCCACTACTCGGAAGCAGTCCCTTAGTTTATACTGGTGCTGTGGGCCTGCATTCCCATTCCGGGCCTCGTAACTACGGACCTGCCTACCGTGGGCCAATTCGGTCATTTTCTGCCTTTTCCGGGCTAGTCTAGGGATAGCCTTTTCCATTAATTCCGCATATCGTTTGGCCCTAGCCCTAAGGGTCGACCACTTGTCCCTTCCCCCTTTCTCAGTGTTTTTTGTGGCACTCCGATCGTCGAAACATGGGATACTATTCGTTCGTAGCTAAAAAGGGGTGAATCCAGTAGATTCATGAGGGGTCGCTTGATGGATCCCGATGATTTGATACACTATCTCGGGCCAAGGACGCGTGTCGTGGCCGCTAGGTTCCGGCGAAGAGAGGTCTTAATCATGCAGTTAGCGTTCTCGGCCAACCCGTTAGACTGATAGACATGGGGAGCAGTGTGTTTGAGAGCAACGCCACGACGCGTCAGTAATTCCTCTACTTTGGCCTTGAATTCGGACCCATTGTCAGTTAGGATCTCCTCTGTATCTAGATGGGTATTGAGGAATCGGTCGATGTACGTAGCTATTTCGGAGGCTGTACATATATTACAGGGGTAAACTTCGATATACTTGGAGAAGTGGTCGAACAACACCAAGATAATAAAATACTCACAACGATTGGGGCGAGATGACACGTCAATATCTGTTGTATCCATACTGACTCGTTGGAAAGGACGTTCTTCCTCCATTGGGACTATCGTGTTTGGGCCACAAAGGGGCGCACGATCGGCAGCACAGACTAGACAGTTAGCGACCACGTGTCTCACATCGTCGCGGATGTTAGACCAGAACCATCGATTTTGGTCGATAGTCGCTTCGGTGACACGTATCGTAAAATGAGCGGCTTGTTCCTCATGCGCCGATCTGGTCCAGTCATATCACTGGAAGGGATGGGGAACCGTCAACCACAAATCCCGATCTGTCTGTTTTACGTTTTTTTGAATGACCGTTGATCCATCGATAATCTCGGGACCTCTCGGTTGGCCGACGCCTGTCATGCTTAGTGAGATGGTCCAATGGTCTGCCCGCTAATTTAGCCAACAATATTTTATCCGTCCATACTTCAGCCCTTCGATATTTTTCGTCATATTCGGGGCCGTCAGTTATGGCGGCCTCGAATCGAACTTCCATGGGGAGCTTATCCGTTCGCCACAGAGGGCATTTCCACGCCTTACTACTCATTCGATATCGAATGCATGCGCCATGTGCGCGATTAACACACGTGGCGCAGTCCACGCAGTCAGTGAACCCCGATTCAAAGGGATAACAGTCTACCCCATAAACCTGTGAAATACACATGCAAAAATAACAGAACTTGTTCAGAAGATCGGCGAAAAATTCCAAATGCGGAGAAGGAGGGGAATCGATGGGGTTGGGAGCAGAAGAAGAGGTCGCCATGGTTTGAGGAAAGAAGAGAGAGGGGGAGAGAGAAGAGGGAGAGGAGGCTCGTGTCCACTTAATTTCTCAGAAGGATGTCCACCTCACCGTACTGGGGCTCGTTCTTTGGCTCCGGATCTTGCCACGATGTCACTTCCTCATTCTTGGGTACCTTGCCGGGTCAATGCAACCGCGTCAGCCTGTCTGCGTTGCCGTGTTTCTCGTGCTTCCGATGACGAATGTCAAATTCCATGCTCTGTAACGTGATAGCCCATCGTCCAATCATACCCCAGTCGTCCTTGGACTTCTTCAGGGCCATCAGTGTTTCATGATCAGTCACGAACGTGAACTTCCGACCATATAAGTAAGCCCGAAAGTGACTGATTCCCCACAAGGCCGCGTAGCATTCCCCTGTTGGAGCAGAGTAATTCCTCTTGCAGGAAGGTACCGATTTAGACGCATATTCCACCACGTGTTCCAAGCCATCAGGTCCCACGAGGGCCAAGATCGTTGAGATCGCCTCGGGCTGCCAATCGGTGATGAGAACAAAAGGTTTTTCCGGGTCCGGTCTTATAAGGACCGGAGCCGAGATCAGAGCCGCCTTAAGTTCTCGAAAGGCCTGATCGCAATGCGGGGTCCAAATCAACGACTGCTCTTTTTTCAGCAAGTTTGTGAGTGGTCCTGCGATTGCTGCAAATCCCTTGATAAACCTCCGATAGTACAAGGCTAGTCCCAAGAAGGCGCGTACTTGTATGACTGGCGTCGGCACCGGTGCATCTTTCACCACAGCTACCTTCCGCGGTTCCGGTTGCAACCCCTTGTCTGTAACCACGTGGGAAAAAACTGACATTTCTCGAGGGCCACCTTGAATCCACCATCCTTCAGTGCGTGCAGCGTCCATTCAATGTGTTGCACGTGCCCTTCGTAGGAATTCGAATACACAAGGATATCATCCATGTATACAATCACACAATAATTAATAATGTTCTGCGCCAGCCTCGTTTTTCGCACGAAGTTCTGAAAAGTCATATTCATCGCACGCTGAAACGTGGCTGGGATATTGCAGATTCCCATCGGGCATCGAACCCATTGCCAAGTCCCTTCGAAAAGAACGAAGGCCGTCTTCGGGCGATCTTCCTTTCGAACTAGGAGATGGTGGAATCCATGACGAACATAAAACTTACTGAAAAATCGAGCACCACCAATAGCATCCAACAACTCATCAATCCGGGGGAGGGGGTACCCGTCTTTAATCGTGATATTATTCAACTTCCGATAATCAATACATATACGAATACCTCCCTCCTTTTTCGGTACAATCACCACAGGGAAGGACCACGGTCCAATGGCGGGCTCGATCCACCCATTAGCTTCGAACTCCTTCACCCTCTCGAACGCAGCTCGTCGTCGCGTCGGAGACTATCGATAGGGGGCACAACTAATTGGTGGATGATCCCCTGTGAGGATCACGTGTTCAATCACACTTGACAACCCAATATCACAATCATACGCACTCAACACCTCAGCATATCCATGCAATACATCAATCAACGACTGACGAATTTCACGAGGAACGTGACCAGGTAAGGTGATCGTTGACCGTTCGAAAAGATCCAGCCGTACGTCGGTCTGCCCTAGTTCTATCGGTTGCCTCCCCTCTATGCTAGAGAACATGGAGCTGCTGGTGCGGACCGAAAAAACCGTACAAGCATCTGTGATTCGGCCGGGCTAATCATTTCGGTTTCCTTAATTTCGGCATCGGTCTTGAGATCAGTGGTGCTTGCGGCTATTCCCAACCTAGTCAGCTCAGTCATTTCCTGCATTAGATTGGGAACATCATTGATCGGAGCTTCGGCCTCCTGCCTAATTAATGCGATCATAGCATTTTGCGTGAGCAGTGGCCTGGGCGGGGAGACGGAAAAATCCAAATACTGATTCATTTGTTAATACCCTTCTCATAAGGAAAGCAGCCCTCGTACAAGGTTCGAGGGGGTTCCAAGAGGTCATCCATATCCGAAACTTGCAGGATAGGTTCTCCTAGGAGAGATGTTACTGAAATCTAAGCTTTCGTTAGTGCACACAGGGATAAAGGCAACGCAGGGCCTGTCTGGCTATCTTCTCTGTCCAGATCAAATGTCCTAGTAGTAGTCGGATTTATTCAGAACTCTTCTTTACTTTCGTGACCGATCAGTTCGACTAGCTGACTCCATTCCTTTTCAGTAGGCATATAACCTAGCAGTTCGTCGTAATCTCGCTCATCATATTCGTCATCCTCGGACAGGTGTCGGTCCGCGTCACTACTTTCGGACGACTCTTCTGAGTCTTCTGGGCTCAGGATTTGTACCATGCCTATCCAGGGGAGGTCGGGGGTCTTTCTTGGTGATCGAGCGGAGACTCGCAGCGGAACTGTTTGAGGCTTTCCTCCAGTATGCGTAAGGACGAGCTGCTTGGAGTTGAAATGTATTCGTGCACCCACAGCCATAGCCCAAGGCAATCCAACAGCACCAAGTATGACTGTACATCGATCACTAAGGCGTTAACCAGGACATGTACTCGTCCTACCTTGACGGCTACGTTTTCAATAATTCCGACTATGTTCATCTTTTCTTCGTCTGCACAGACGTAGTTGTCCCTTCTAGGTAAGGGAAGGATTGAATTCAATCGTCCAGTTTTTTCGACGGTTTCTAAAGATATTGCTACCGCAGACGATCCTGTATCAACAAGCTACGAAACACCCTCGGCGGCGGACAAGCGCGGCCGATCCACGGCCGGGGCCGAGTCTGCGACCCCCGCGAACGCGCCACTTCGCGTACGCGTGGCGGCCGGTGGGGAGGGGGGTTGAGGATTTGGAAAGCGTCATGGGGCGGCGCATCCCTAGCCCCACCCACTCAAAAAAAAAAAAAAAAAAAAAAAACTAATTTTTATGTGGGGGGGTTGATTGATTGATTGATTGCTTGAGTGGTGGGGGAGGGGTCGCAGCACCCCCCTGCCACCCACCACGCGCCCGCAAACACACACACACACACACACACACACACACACACACACACACACACACACACACACACACACACACACTCACTCACAATCAATCAATCAAACCCCTTTTTTGTTTTCTTATTATTTTCAAATTCTTCATCTGCATTTTTTTAAAACACCTCATACCCCTGCAAAAAGCAGAAATTCATTTCTGAAAAAAAATACAGGTCAACTCAGGGACCATATATTTCATGATAAAAAATGACAAAAAAAAAATTCTCCTTTTCTTTATATATATATTTTTAATTTTCTTTAAATCCAATTTAGTTTTTGATTTTTAAAAAATCCTAAACAATGTCGGATTCTATAAAAAAAAAAATGGGGTTGTAGGGCTTAAAATTCCCTACAACCCCATATATATATATTATATATATATATATATATATATTTTACCTATTATTTAATTCAGGAGTATTCTGGTAAAATCGGGTCCGCGACGCGGACCA